AGTCATCCTAAGAGTCACCCCGAAGCATACTGTGCATAATCTACTCAACAGGTGCGCTGTATCACACATACCTATTAGTCTGCGTTGGGGCGGGAGCTGGATAGCTGTCTGATCTGCAAATCTACACAGGATCATGTGTTCCTAGAAGAGAAAGAGAGAGAGTGTGGAGTTAGTTAATCTTCTGAATCAAACTTGTAAAAATCAAAATCAACCTTGTTTTGGGGGAATGGTTTGCTGTTCACTTGAATAAAGCACTACACATTGCTATTGAGTCAATTCTTACTCATGTCAACCCTACAGGACAGCACAAAACTGCCTTACTGGGTTTCCCAGGCTGGCAATCTTTAAGGAAGGAGACTGCCATATCTTTCTCCCTCTTAGCAGCCGGTGGGTTTGAACCACTGATTTTTTGGTTAGCAGTCAAGCTCTTTAATCACTGGGCCACCAGAGATGCTTCACTATATTAAAAACAAACAAACAAACAAACAACCCACCCAAAACTCACTTCCATCGAGTGGCTTCTGACTCATAGCTATCCTATATAGAGATGCACAGAAGCAGCCCTGGTGAGTTTTGTGTGGGACTCCTAGCCAGACATAAAGTCAGCAGTTTGAAACCACCAGCCGCTCCAGGGGAGAAAGGTGCAGCTTTCTGCTCTCAGAAAGCTTTATGGTTTCAGAAACCATCAGTGGCAGTTCTGCTCTGTGCAATAGGGTTGCTATGAGTTGCAATTCCACCTGATGGAGGGGTACAGGACTCCCGAGGCTGCAAACCTTCATGAGAGCTGACAGCATCATCTCTCTTCTGCAGACAAGTGGTGGGTATGGACTGACAACCTTGCAGTTGGCCATCCAGCACTTACCAGGCAGCGTCCCAAGGTCTCCTCTTCACTACATAAATCATGCTGACAGAAGCACACTTTCAGAAAAAGGCACTCATGAAGAACCTCACAGCCATTTTTGGTTATGACATGAAGGTTACATTTTGTGATCACAGTTACGAAAAAAGAAAAGACCTAAATTTCACTTATGTTTTTCCTTTAGCAAACCTTGAGTTTCAGGAATGTGGTTATAAGAAAACACTCCTGATGATTTTCATGCTGCCAGAGCTCCCTGGTACACCGAGCAGAGTGCCTGCGTGTCCTCTGCTTCTGCTGACTCTTCCCTCTCCTCAAGGAACCCTGCTGAGGCTGGAGGTTAGGCAGTAAGCTGCTAAGCACAAGGTCTGCAGTTCAAACCCACTAGCTGCTCCAGGGAAGAAAGAGGAGACTGTTTGTTCCTGTAAAGAATTGAAGTTTTGGAAACCCTAGGTAGGGTCAGTAGGAGTTGGAATTGACTCGGTAGCAGTACATTTGTTTGTATTGGGTTTTTCCCTCCATTCAGCTCTTTAGAGGAGATGATCCTAGGAACTGTGTGCTTTTTCCTTATTCCAGAAGACTGCCAGGCATATGTATCTCTTGCTTTAAGACAAATTGTGAAGACAAGTTGAGGATTACTATTTTTACTTAACCTTTTTTTGTTTGTTTGTTGGTTTTAAATTACATTAATTGGGGAGGTAGGGCAGGCTTAGAAGGAACAGGGAAGTAATGAATTCACACAGCACTTCTAAATCTCCAGGTAGCCAATGGTGAATGATTAGATAGATGATAACTGTTATTGCCACACGCAATAAGTGGTCATTCATCTCAGATTCGGGAGTCTCATACCATCTGAGATATGTGGCAGACTAACTTGCTATATTACAAGTGGGGAAAAATCTCAGATTTTGATAATTCTATTTGAAGAGTTGCACTTTTTCTTATTTTAAAGATGTCATCCTAATTGCTAAGGAATAATTCAAAGATAAATGTAGATTATATACACTGCATTTAAAAATCGAGAGTGAAAAATACAAAGAAGGGATAAAAAGTCTATTAGTATGTTAGGAAGACAGCTACTTCTTTACCATACCTTGTAGGATAGAGTTTCTTTGAATTGTTCACTGAAATAGAGAAGAGAAAAGGATCAGTCATCATTTTAAAGACCAAGTATTAAAAGCATAAACAACCTCAAAAAACTAAATTAAAAATGAGACAAGTAATTGTGCATCGTGGCTGTATAGAAAGACAAAGGTAGACCCTAGTCATGTCATTCATTTTGAAGAATCTGTTTCCCAGACTGGCTATATGGTGACAGAAACACACCCTCCCCTTTTCCCTCT